ATGCAGCTCTTAACCAGCCCCTTCCCAAACCTGGCTGAGATGAGAATGGGCCTCACATAAGCCACCTCTACCTATCACTGCAGGGCAGCAACACCTAGGGACAAGTCGGGAAGGCCTAACCTACACAAAGTGCCCACAAGATGGTTACCGGGGCAGACTCTGGGCTCCCCCTAGAGAGCCTGGGGGTCACCTTCCCAGCAGGTTGGAGAGAGGCTCCTGTGAGTTCTGGGAAGCTCAGGCCGTGTGGGTCAAGAGCAACAAACCACCTTGCATATGAGTTCCTCCCAAGCTGCGAGGGCTGACTTGCACTCACACTGCTACTCACCTGGCAGAGTGCCAGGATTCCATTCACTTAAGGATGGGAAGAAGAGCTAACCAATAACGTGCTTAACAGCTAAGCCTACGACGTTCCAGCGTGAACCCTGTGCACAGGCCACCTCACTTAATCCTACGATGAAGGGGAATTACCTCCATCTTTACACATTGTTTTCACTTCTCCCTGCTCTGTTCATGTCTTCTTTTTTTCTTGTCTTATTGCTGTGGCTAGGACTTCTAGTACAACACTGAACAGAAGTGACAGCAGGCACCCTTGTCTTGCGCCTGCTTTAAGGGGACGAGCTCTCCATCCTTCCCATTACGGATAATGTTAGCTGTTGGTTTCTCATACATACATTGAACCATACTGAGGAACTTCCCTTCTATTCCAATCTTCTTGAGGTTTTTCATCCAGAGAGGGTGTGCAATCTCCATTTTTAAGTGGAAAAACAGGCTGAGAGGGCAAGCTGCCCAGAGTCACACAATCAGTAAGGGCCAAAGAGGCTGATTCTAAATCCCAACAGCATCCTACCCAGGAGGTCCTCATGATCTGAAGACCAGGTTATCTGAGACCCTACTGTTATGAGGCTGCAAAGGAACACAAAAATCCTCTTAAAACAAGATCTTGGCCTCACTCAAATATCCCTCCTGGTGTAGCTCCAGAACCTTCCCCCTTTCAAGCTGAAAGGATTGGAAATAGTCTCGGGAAGTAGGGTGGGAGTCCTTTGCAATTCAGCCACAAAGATGCAAGACTTCAGGAGGCCAATGATGTGTTGTTGGGGAATGAAGAGATCGAGCCCAGAGCCACTGGCAATTACAGCCACTGAGACCAAGGAAACCGACAAGGCTAACGACAGGACGCACATCAAGAAATGATCTGAACAGCAACAGATTAAGAGAGGCTCTGGAGGAAAGTGAGCATGCCCGGCAGTTTAGTAAAACCAATCTTCTTTATAGGTGGAGTGGGGAAAATCACACACCATGTGAAGAAGGGCATACTGGGCTAACACACAATGTGTTGTAAAATGATGACCTGTCCCCCCTCGACACTCAGTTTATTCGTTGGCTCTGTAGATGACCATTGCATTCATACTCGAAAACTTCTGGAATATGAAACAAGTTCAAGATATTTCCTTTTCTTCTTTTAATTTCTTGAGCAAACACTTCTCCCCCACAACTGCCCCTGTTCCTATGAGGTTCCGATCTTAAGTGGCTTTGCTGGAAGGGTTTCCCCTTGTAGTCCAGCTGCCCTCCTGCACTAGAAAACATCTTACAGCAGAAAAGGTTTATCACCCACTCTTCTAAGTATTTAAATTCTGCACACACATCCATTTAAGCTCCAGGAAGCCATCTCCCTGAACCATCACTACCTGAGTCGAGAACACCCTTCCCACCTTTCATTTCTCTCAAATTCAGCCTTCATCAAAGACGTAGGCAAAAGCAGCCCAAAGACAAGCCTTTGCGTGTTTGCTTGTTTCATCAAAATGCTGTCCACCTTGTTCTTCAGCATCCCTCCTCATAAAATGGTGAGTTTATCTTAGGATTGTATATCTGTTTGGTTTTTGTCAGACTTCTCCTATCCTCCTGCCTACAGACAAAATGCACAAATAGGTGAGTACAAGTGAGCGGGCCTTGTGAAGGTCTCATGTGGTAAGTAATACACTGGCAATTTTCCTTTTGTGGGTGAATATGTTAAATTGAGAACCAATGAGAACATATACTTTGCTGAGAAATGGATCTGCTTCCTCCTTTCTGACGACTGGGACCATGAAGCTCATCATCTGTGCCTTTGTGTCCTGGCTTTAAGGAACCTCGAGAACAAACGTCCTGATTCTTATGTGTCTCTGTGTACCATTTTGGATTGCATGCCTAGTCATTTTAGGCCACCAGAAATAATTTTTGGTAAGAGCATGCTCCATCTGACTTAACTTGGATTGAATAAGGATATTAAATTATAACCGGGGAGCAAAGGCAACAGGGATGCCCCAGATCCCTAA